AATACCTAATTATTTCGTTGCTTTAAGTGCAAGAAATATTGTTTCATATAGAGTCGACCTCCTTCGATTTATTATGTTCGCTAAAAAACAAGATTATGCACTTAATTTTTTCTCATTGATGACAATACCCCTCTGGAGTTGATGTTAGTAATAAAAATGCTTTATAAGGAGAATTGATCTCACTTTGTTTCTGCATAGTGGACTATGAGCCACTTTCCCATGAAAATTCCTTCTCTTTTCCAGACAAACTCTCAGTAAACTTTGAGAAGACTATGAATAAAATTCCATTAAGACTGTGTATACACACACACACACACACACACACACACACACACACACACACACACACATATATATATATATATATATATATATATAGAGAGAGAGAGAGAGATAGATAGATTATTTTCCTTTAAGATCATCTTATGTAGTTTGAACTACAACCACTTCCCTTTTCGATATTTTTATTGTATAACTAATTGTTGTTTTATAATTATATCCGTCTGAATGTTTTACAAAAGCGTCCTTTATGATAACTTATTATCATAAGAAGTTGAAATAATTAAATATATTCTATTTGTTTTTTTCGTTTAAATGAAATTAAGTTTGCAGGTTACCATTTAATATGTAGAATACACATTAGTTTTATACAGTAGCCTACATTTAGATTTTAAAACAGATTTTCTAATGTAGCTTTATAATATTATATAATTTACTGAAAATATTTTAGCGCTGTTTATTAGGTCGGTATCCTTATAAAAATAAGCAGAAATAACAACATTACATATACTCAGAAAAAACTTAGAGTCACTGAACAACACCGTTTCTATTTAAATCAATGGGGAAAAATCTAAAAGGCCTTGCAGTCAACTAACTGGGAAATAATAAGTAAATAAAAATATTAAATATAGTAAATTAACTAGGGGGTAATTTGCAACTGAGTCTGAGATTTGTGAGAGGTACATTCACACTCCCTTCAAATTTTTCTGTGTATATTATGAAGCAATACTGGGAGACTTTGTAGTAAGCATAATAATGAAAGTTTTATTTCTTCTGACTAAATGTGCATATCTTAAAATAAGACACGGGAACAGACACACACACACGAGTGTGTAATTAAAATTGGCATTTGTCAACATGGTATTTGAAATTTGACAAATTACAGAGTGCTAAATAACACACGTTACTGGTCTTAAGTTTTAGATATCCAGTCGCATTTTATAGCCTGAGAAAGGCCCCGATCACAGGCCTACCTAGAGCCCCTTCATCTTGACTGCCATTCATCAAGACAAAATGACCAATTTTCCCCAGCAAGTCGTCGTTGGCCTGTTAAACTAGGCCAATGAGCTGTGTTATACTTCCTTTCCTCCCTCCTTCATCACGGCTTGCCTAACATTGCTTCCCTGAAATCATCGGAGTATAGCCCCAAATCTTAAAAGTCAGAGCCCATTCTTCAAATGTATTGCATTTCAGAGGGGGTTTTTTTACTGCAGGAGTCTTTAGGCCAGCAGAGTATCAGAGGAGGTGTAATTGAGGGGGCGGTGAGGGGATAGAGTAGCGGTCCGCCTGAAAGCTGCTATTAAAGCCAAATGGACTGAACACCGTAAAACGGCTCTGCCAACAGCTGTCTCACAATCGGAGTATTATATGCCAGGATCCTCAAGCACGCACCACACACACATTAGGACACGCTGCTGATGTAGTGGCTACTTAGAAGTATTAGACAGCAAAGCCGAGAAAATAAAATACCAACGAATATCCACTTGAATATCCCGCTAATATTCGCATTATATTCCTATAGGGACATCAGCCTAGTTGTGTTTCTTGGTGATTTTGGTCTCTAAAGGCATTTTCACCTCTCTACAAGCCTTGCTTTTCTTATAATAACCTGGGGAATTGCAGTTTTTGCAGGGATAGCCGATTTGCCTTGCATATTTCCACACATCATGGTTATGGAAGTCCCTTTTCATAAGAACTCCGAGACAGGTGTGAGCAATGGCAGAAGAATAGCGGGTCATCGTATATGTGTGTGTGTGTGTGTGTGTGTGTGTGTGTGCGCGCGCGAGTAGAGGACGCGCAAGATACCATTAGAGTAATTTTGTAAGTTTACTTGAAACCTTTGAATGACAGGAACTCCAAAATTGTGTTTTCCTGCAGCTGTGCATAATATAAATATATATTTGGTGTGTGATACCTCGCACAGCAAATGATTCGCATCAAACAGATAGAAATTAAAGTATATATTTGCATATTTCTAAGGGGGCTCCTACAACTCTTAAGAGGCCCAGCACCCCACTTTGGGGACCCACTTGGTGCAACACCTGTGCCCAGACCCGCATCTTTCAGCGGAGCTTCACCTTCCACGCCCCGCAGAATAAAACCCAGTCACCCTCTTCCCTAAATGTGATGTCTGTGGCCCCAAGTGTTGTCTCAGTCTGCGAGTCCTTATTAGAATATGGAGAGAGGCGATTGAAGAGGAGTTGTTTCCACTGGATTAAATGGTTTCTCTGCAAGTCAATGAATATGTAATGATGTATAACGAAACCGGCCAGTGAGTTCTGTGCTCTGGTATACAGGCCCAATATTAAAGACCTCTTCTGCTGAGGAAAAACACAGTATAGAGCTTGGCGGAGAAAAGAGGAGCAGAATAGGGGAAGGGAAGAAGGGATACAATCTTGAATGCGCCTCCAAGCTTAAGCCAGACATTCTCCCTCAGTCAATAGATGAAAAAGTATTTGCTCACGTACTGAGAGAGAGGGAGAGAGAGAGAGAGAGAGAGGTTGGTTGGTTGGGTCTTTTTTGAGGCAAGGGTGGGGGGTGCATTTACATTTTTTAAACTGCTTTGGAAATATTGTTTCTGATAAGCAGTCATGCCAATAAAGTAATTGAATTGAATTGCTAGAGAAGGGGCGAGAGGCATAGAAAGAGGGTTTCTCCACCATGATTGTTAAAGACATTTTTCCCTTAGTATACCCGATAAAACATTGATTGTTGCAGTTATTTGACCCGTAAAATTTGGAGGTTAGTTTTCTCTTCTGAGCTGAGCATATAATTATGCAAATAGTGATCTGACAGTGATCCGCTGGAGGAGTGCTGAAGGAGAGAGAGAGTGAGTGTGAGAGGAGGGGGCTGTCAGAGGGGTGACATTCCAACTTTGCCTAACGCCTGGTTCCTTTGGAGAGAGTTCATCTTCCGCAGGGACGGCGTGCATATCAGAGTGGGCCGGAGCAAGCAAGCGTGACAACAACTCTCTTAAAGTAAAAATTGAAATATCAGGCTGTGGCAGCACAAGGGTTCCCCAACTTTTTCATGTCAAGGACCCCACACAACCCACCCACTCCACCTAACATTACAGCACAGACCCCCCATTTGGCAGGATTTCACCCTAAAGCTCCGCAGCTGATGCTATTTTCTATTTAAGATATGATTCAATGTAGAACTGTCTGTGAGTTGACGACAATAGCCGGGAGAGTGAAAGCTATAATCAAATCAGTCATACATATTATACATTCACATGCTGTGCTAACTTCTAGCGAGTAAAAAGACAAATGAATCAGACTATTTCTCCTTTGGTTTGGGGTCCCGGGGACTTCAGGGAACCAGCACCCTTTTATACAAGAAGCCTCCCTGTCTTCAGAAGTTAGGAGACAGTTACACGGACAAAGTGATGCATGTGTGATCAATCTGAATACACAGGACCCTCAGAGAATCACTTGGGGATAAATGGGATATAGCCTAGTTTCGATTTAGACAAGATCGTAGATGCCTAAATTTAGCTGAAACAAAACAAAACAAAAAACTTTTTACGCAAATTTTTTCTCAACATTGGAACGGGGATGTAAACTACATATATCCCACCAAAATTACTTTACACGACTTTTGATGTTGCCATATAATCTGTAAAGTAGACTTAGCAGATAGTGAACAAGTCTCGAGGCATAAAATAATTCCTGGCCGAATATATCATTTATTTCTCTGTGTATTAGTTGTCTGCCTTTGATGATCACTGACTGGAGGTCATAATTTATGGAACCACTACATCAATGCTTCGGACAGAAGGCAGGTTATTTAATTAAACTCAGGAAAAAAAGTCTCGCTTGTGGAAGAAAAGAGATTTCCTTCCTCAATACCACAGAATTAAGTTAGACAGTCTTGTCCTGAGGAAGTTCTGAAGCCATTTTTAAGACAGAAAGTTTAGTCCAATTCACGTGTGTGTGATTGAATGCCTCTCTTTAATCAGCGGCCTGACACGGTGTGAGGGGGACTCGCCTGGTTCCACTTGTTGTTCAGGGGTTAATGGAAAAGATTTCTAAAGATTTATTGAGGGGGCGTTTAATGACCTGATCGGTTTCACCGTGTGAAAACAAATGATGCTGTAAAACCTTGCTGAGTTGGAGGGGGGTGGGGGGCTCCCTTTGCCAAAATTAATGACCAAAAAGAGGGGAATTACTGTTTATAGTTTGTTTTCCTTTTGACACACTTCTTACTGACGTTATAATCACTTTAAAGATATTGCTCTGTTTCAGAGTAGCCTGGCAGGACATGTTATAAAACGGCAAGCCTAAAGACTTTTATCTACCGCTTAACTTTAAAAAGCAACACCAAAACAAAGAAGAATTCGTGGTTTGGGGCGGTTTAAAAACATGACAAAATACACTTAACACTGGCCGATTGTGTGGCAGCAAATGAATGTTAGCTGGCCATCCTTCTCGGTTAGATTTCATAGATATCATGCGAGATGATGACTCAGGTCATTTTTCACGTGGTGCTCGACTTTCTGGTCCCGCTGCACTCACTTTACACTTTCGGGCACATCTCCCCGTCTCTCTTTGCAATCGTACCTGACTTTCTCGAACTGCTGATCTATTTTTCCACACATTCCTATTCTGCACTGGCATCCGTAAAATACTTCAGATGATTAGCGAGAAAAACACGAGGAAATAAATTGCAAAGAGAAAAACTGAATGCCATAAAAATCAATAATGCAATAGGAAAATATGTACAGATGCAAAAGTTCATTTTATTTGTTTCGACTAGTTTAATAGGTTAATTACAAAAAATTAAATCAATCATGTAAAAGTAGAGTAATTACTGTGTGCAGACACTTTAAAATCATTTTAAAGAGAGCCGTTTGAAACCAAAATGGATGAAGAGAGAAAAATATGTGACCTGGCAGGACACTTGCGGTTACATAAAATCCAAAGGCTTATACAGGGATAAAACTGAATAGGCATGTTCCTTAAACCAATAGAACATATAAACCATCTGCAGAAAATAATGTCTTCAAGAGCAATTGGCAAAATTAGTCCCCTTTTATTTGCAGACTGTGCTTTGGATTTAGGCTGCTGTTACATCTTTACTTCCATTCAAATATGGCTTGCTGGATATTATTAAAAAAAACAGTGAACAGAGTCTTGTTTATTCCTAAGGCAACAATATACAAATTATGGAATGAAAAATGAACTGATTGTAGCTGAAAAGCAGAAAGATGAGCAATGGTATCTTGAAACGAAACTCATCATATCAAATAATAAGCCAACTTCTTTGCTGAAACCTGGAGAGATCTGAATCAAATTAAAAGGAAATTAGGCCTGCAACCACCAGCCACAGTTGTCTCATTACAGCGGAAAGATAATCCACAAAAGCCTTAAACCATACACACAGTGGGAAGGAGAGGCATGATTTCACAGTGTAAAAGTTAAACAATGGTAACTATTTGAAGAAAAAAAGAAGAAAAGTACATATTTGAGAATGTGTCTAAGGTATCATAAGATTAAGTATCAGGTTTGAGTTTTTACTAATGTCATGACACATTAGAAATGTATTCCATTAAGCCTTGAGTGGTTTATAAAACACACCAGCCTTGCGGAAAAAATGTTATCATGTTTGTGTCACATAGTCAGATTATGTGCAGCTGAGCAGGGAGCTGACTTTGTCACTTCTAAGTACACAAGAAGAGTACTTTGGTAGAAAGAATAGATATGTTACATTTCTCCAACATCTAAGGAAATATCATTCAGGCTTAGAATAATATTGAAATCTTGGATTTCCTGACGTGTAAGGCGATATATTGAGGCTTTATGAGTGTTGTGAGCTGACTTCTGGCTCCTGTTAAAATGAGATATCCTCAATCCCATTTTGATGCCAGACTTTAAGTAATTTTAAACATGCTCAGTGTCCTGAATTTTCCATATTCAGCACAGGTTGTGTTTGTTTTATTTGTTTCATCACATTCAATCATCCAGAGACATCAATTTCTAGGATATCAAATTGAAAAAAAAAGATATATATATATATATTTATAATAAACACAGAGAGATGGACTTTTCACAGTTTTGCAAATCAAACCTGGTGATATTCTAAAGTAAACACTTACAGCTCTGAGAAGTATTGGCTTAATATTAAAAATCAAATAGTGTGAATGTGTGTATGAGACATTGCATTCAAATTTAGCTCAAAGTTGAGAAAAAAAGATAATTCTTTTTATAAGCACTGGAATCCCAGAAATAAATGGCATGGGTTAGAACCACATTTTACACAAAGCTGAATGAGAAAAGTCAGGTTCAAAAGCTGACTGCATGTGCGGAGGAGTTAGAGAATGAAGAAGTCATAAAAACAACACCCTTTGTTAAAACAAAACAAATGGTCACCAGTTAAAAATGTGTGTTCACTCTTTTTAAAAACATTTGTGGTGGGAAAAACAAGATGGGCACTGATCAGGTTGAAATGATATCGCACCACAGCAGAACATACCATACAGCTTGAGCTAATTTTGGGGGGAGGAGGCCCAGGCTTTAGGACCGGGGGGAAGAGGGAGAGACTGAGCAGTTCAGACTGGAGGGCAGGCAGGGCATTAGCTCAGTTCAGGCTGATGTCAGGACAATTAGAGGTGCACCACAGCGCATTGTGCACAGCGCCTGTCAGCCTTAATCTCTACTGCCGTGGCCCATACCCGTAGCCAGGCCACAGCCCACGGGAAGCGCTAACACTCAGGCCCATATTGCTTTGACAGTTGCGCTCATCTAGAAGTAATGCAAAACGTTATTATGATGTATACATGGTGACCTTGTACTCTTGTCTCTTACAACAAGGCTATGTGTGTGCAGAGCCAGGGAGGGCTGGAAGGGAGAAATGACACTCAGAGAGAATAGTCAGTAAAGAAAGATGGAGGGAGGTTACAGAGGGATAAAAAAGGAAGAATAGCACAGAGGATGTGGAACCTTCGCCTTCCTTTCTGTATTAATCCTTTGTCACCTGACTCTCTCTCCTCTTGTTCCAAGTCATTTTTGTTGGTCTTCTACAAATCTTGGTGTTTGTTCTTGAGGGAGCTACTGCGTGTGGTGACTGTGTTGGAGGTCTCCTCCGCCTCCTCATCCTCTTTCACCTCCAGCACCTCACTGAAGAACCTGAAGATTGAGTTGAAACTCATCCAGGAGGTCAGCTCATGCCTCTCTGTGCCTGCACGTAAAAGATACACACACATAAACATAAGCATGAGCAGGGTTCACAAAAAATTGCTTTTTGTAAAGCTGCAAAGACAGAAAGTGTATGGTGGATATTCTGACATTATTAAAAACGTACCTCTGAATCCTATACACCTACTGTGGCAACATCAAAGGTTAAAATAAACACCATTAGATAATATGTTAAACTTGTAAGGCTCACCACTCCCACAATGCATTGCATTGCTCCATCCAAGCCTAAAGCTTTATACATGAGAGCCATGACAGCCTATGACCTATTAGTCCAATGGGACAGCCTTAATATGTTATCCAAGCGGATACCTGATAATCAACACCACTGCATGTCCCTTTCCATCTCAGGCCTTCCAACAAAACCAGAGTTATGCACAATGGGCGCACTAAGCGAAACCAGTGGAGCGGTAGTCATTCAATCTGGAGGGCTGATTGAGGATAGGCAAGACAGAAGCTGGAGAGAGGTAACTAGCAAGCATATCAAGTGGTCTGGTGGTGGGGGGGGGGCAGCAGTGCTGGGTTTCCCCCTGACTTCTTCCAGGTGAGCCAGTTCCCAAGTTAGGGTCACACTGGAGCTTGAAATCTGGTACATGCGCCTCGGGTTCCTGTCCGCCTCAGGGGTTGGGGTATCACTGGCCAGCTTTTTAGTTGGATAGCTTGCAAATTCGATGGCAGTTTCTATGTTTCTCCTACGCCAGCTAGTCTTACTATAGAACACCTCGGCTCTGCATCAGAGCATCGATGATGAGGACAGATCGTGTCTGCAGCTGTTGTTCCGACTTGTCTCTAGTCCTGCTCACTAACCATTCAGGGACAGGGAGCTAACAGATAATGGCTTTTTTCTGCCGCCGCTGGCTAGCAGCTCAGCTGCTTAGCAACACAACTGTAACTGGACTTGAGAAACCATACTGAGGTGCCCTCTTGTTTTCCAGAGGGAGAGTAGGTTTGTCGTAAGATGATCTTAAGAGTTTCATCCCTTGATAGATGGATCTAAGAAATTTTTACATGTGTTTACGGACAGAGGGATGAGTGAACACAAGCCTTGAAGTAATGAGTTTTCTTTTTTCAATCCTTATTTGCACACATAAGACTATTTTTTATTGGGAACTGCATTTGTTTTTAAGATAAGAAAATTTAAATGGGTCCCTACAATTTTCTTGGGAGGATTAAAAAAAAAAGGATGAGCTTAGTATCTGAAATCAGCTAGGGTTGTATGAAAACAACTAGTCCAAGCAGAAAGGGTTGAAAACCATGACCCCTTTGGATGAGTCAAATCAGTAGTACATTAAAAATACCTCTGCTCCTCTCTTCAGTACCTTTCTCCTTCCTCCCTTCTCCTCTGTGTACATGCCACTGGCTATTAAAAAAAACTAGACTAGAAAGCTGCAGGGATAAAATTAGGAAGCACCTTAAAGGCTCTCTCACCATAGACAGGCCTCTGATGACCACTGCATTGACCCCATGTTTATTAGATTGACCCTTGCCTGGATGCATTAATGGAGATGATGTGTGTGCACGTGCGTGTTTTTGTTTTGTGCGTATGATTGTTAGATCGGGGGTAAGGATGAGGTCTTCAGCTGGGAGTAGATTTGGTGGTGTGTTTTGTTTGTGTGTGTGTGTACGATGTAAGGGGGTTCTCGATCACTCTGAGATAAGGGACTGCGCTGCACGCTATATAGCAAGCAGACTGCAGTTAGTGCCTTGGGTCAAATTTACTGGCCTAGCAATCATGGGAGTCAATAACCCAGCACCCTCGGTGACTCTGCTACCTGTGTAGGACTCAACATAACATCCATCCCTGGAAAACAAAGACACAGCCCTCTAATCTATCATTTATATCCAATTTGAGGCACTGTGATCTTTTTCCACCTCCTCCTCCTCCATCTTCCCCATCTCATCGGTCTCTCCCTCACTAGTGTTTTTACTTCTGTTTTGTCCTTTTTTTCCTCCTGCAGAAGCGATCAATGTCTGCAGCGCTCTCTCATTCACCCTGAACTGGCGGTGAACTCCTGCGGAACGCCGCCAGCCTCTCCACCCTATCCCATCGCAGTCCGGGGTCAACGGGGGGGCGTCTCTGTGCCAATATGCAGATGAGCCTGTGCCCCTCCAATGACTCTGGTGTGAAGCTCCACCCCTCTATATGGTGGAGAGCCCCCCACTCCACCCACCTACCCCACCTGACGACACTCACAGAGACATAAACCCACTCCCACACTGGCTTAAATAGGCATTTAACAGCTTACGTCCGCTCTTCCTTTAATAGCCAAAGTGTGTCGAACCTAATGGATGTTGTCAAAGCTGAGATGTGACCACTGATTTAGAGGACGAAGCCCAATGACCAGGCTTCACTAGCCCTTAAAGACTGGGAGAGATAGAAAGAGACAGAGAGAGAGGGAATTACCTCAGCAAAGACACAAATCAAAATAATATCTTTAAAAGAGTGGGGATCGATGAGGTGTCATCTGAATGTATCTTGTGTGTAAAGTGAACCCATAAACAGCCAATGAGAACTACTTTATCCTCAATTTTAGTCCCTTAGTGAAAAAGTACTTCATCTGATAAGCAGATTTTTTATGAGCAATTGATTTCATGTATTGTTAAAACAAGATATCACAGGCGAAGAGCACTTCCATTTTATTAGTTTAATTACAACTTGTGTCATGTATTTAATTGATCAAACTTTGAAAATAAAGTACCCTGTGTATTTGTGTGTGTACTTTCATGCATTCACTGTGAACCAATTAAGTTGCCTGTGCTAATTTTAACAAGATCATTGTAATTGCATTAATTTAATAAAGTTTATTGTAAATGCAATAATGTCCTCATTTATTGTAAACGCAATAATGATGTTACTGTGAGCTCCATAACATTGGGCATTGTCATGGGAAATACAGAAAAAAATCTGTTTATAATTAGCATTAGGCAATGGCAAGCTTAACGGAGATTATTTCTGCAAGTGGAATGATGATGGCTGTAACCTTGAGGTGAGGCAACACAAACACACAGACTGAGCTTCATGATGATGTTTCACTGTAACGCCGGAAATAGCAGGTATAGAAACAAGGTCTGTGGCGAAAGCTCCCCTTCGAAGCTCTTTGCTCAGGTCATGGCAGAGTTTCAGTCCTCCGCCTAACCTGTGCCCTGTGTTTGAACGTTCTGTGTGTGTGTTGTCTAAGCCTGGTGAGGCTGCCTCATTATGTGACAGGCACAGGAGAGTATTTGATCCTGGATATTTAGCCTCCTCCATTCTGTCACAGCCACTGGAGCCCTCTCAAGGTAATTGACTGACTGTTTGATCTCCTTCTGACTCTACACTGGTACAAGACGCTCACACACATACAAACACATTCGTCACTTGCAAGCATCTACTTATGGATGGCACGCACTCACACATACTTTCACTCACACATGTAGCGCATACCCACAGTACCCTCCCCCGAAACACCAAACAATCCAACACGCACCCACACGCACACAGTTGTTATCATTTGTGTGTAGTGAAGTAACGGAACAGGGGAGGAGAGTTTTGAGCTGTTAAAAGGAAACAAGGAAACTCCTCCATAGCTATGGGCCATGCTTTCTTCCCTCCGCACCAAACGCTGCATGCTGTTACAAATGGTAATCGGCTCTGATTGTCACAAATTTCAAAACAAACGCTAGGTGACTGAAAAGCCAAAGTGACGCCCCGAGTGATACTCCGACAGAAAGCCCGAATCAAAGCATGCCGACTATAATTAGGTTCCATCTGGGCTACATTATTTAAAGCCGCACCAGTTAATTGCTTGTGTACAAATGGCCTATTTTATTTGAATCAAACTTTTTTTGTGATTCGTAATTACATTGATGTAAAGGGGGACATATCTCTTTACTTCATTTACAATATAAATACATATTCAAATTATTAAGAGGACTTTGAAGCAAGGGAAATGTAAAGTGATGATACTTTTCTTTGTGTGAATTGAATTTCTTTAAACAGTTATGGGTGCTTAATCAAACACTGACATTTGGGTTAAACATTTAATTAGGTTCAATTAAAAAGGAGATGAACAACGATATAATCATGAAGCGAAAATTACAAAAACAGAACACCTAACAGAACTGATGCACATGATATTATTGCATGCAGAAGCAAACATTTTCTCATTTCCTCTTGTCAGAGTTTTCATCAAAAATCTAACACAAACAGTGCATTTTCTTATCGATTTCCTATCGACGGTAACCTAAGCTTTCGTTTTATCTCAATGTGAGGCAGAGCAGTGTGTTGTGGTGTGGGCCCTTGCTGGCTGTAACCTTAGTCGGGGTGCTGTTTGTGGAAACTATCTGTTGCATGGATCAGTGGTGGGGAATCGCTATCTGTATCCTGGTTGTCAGACGATCGGATTTCCGCCCCCGACGCTCTCTGATATTAGATGATCTTCCGTGGTGTGTGTCAGAGTATGTGCACAGTGTGTGTGGTTGATGAGATGCACATGCACGTACAGTCAGTTATGCGTGTTGTCATCTTGGTTACCGACATGCGTAAAGGTCAAGAATGTTATTTTGTCCCACGTGGCTGTCTGTCGAAGGGGGTAGGACATGTTGCCACTAGAGATGAGGTCAAAGAGGGCCCAGGCAGGTGACAGCCGGTCAGCCACACTGCCAGAGCAATTCTGTCCTCAAACAAAACAAAATATGGAGATGTTTTCCTCAGTCAAAAAGCTAATTAAATCTAAATGTACCCCCCCCCCCCCCCCCCGCCCCCCACTAACACCCCTCAATTTCCACTCAGGTTGAAAACATCCATGTCAAACCCACTGACAGTGTGACAGGTATAATCAGACTTTTATTTATGCTATGCTACGCTAAGCGTCTTCGTTTTTTAATAAAATCAACCTGGTACTAAGCTTTCACACATTTACAGGAGCAGGAGAGACACACATGCATCACACAAGAAAAAAAAATTAACAGAAAAAATACTCAAAACAGAGCTCATTTCATCAACCCAGTAATACCACTGCTGTTTCTTAAATTCAATTCGTTTTTAAAGCTCTTCGCTAAGCTGGGTCTGCTCCCAACCCCCATCTCTCTCGTACTGCTTTTAATTACTTTGCTTATTATTGCACGTTGTTGTTAGACAAAAACAAGGCAGAACTCATTACGCATCCAGAGATGAGGAACCTGAATCACTAGCTACAGGGGCCGCTGAGGGGACTCTTGTATTTACTTAGAATAAAATACAAGCAGACGAGAGACATACAGAAACAAAATCGAGTGAAAGCCCAGAGAGGGGAGAATATCACATTAACTTGTTGAAATCATCACCAAATGTAAGCTACTTTACATTCCATATAATAATTCCAGGAATAGTAAAACTTGTGACAACAAAGACTCCACACAAAAGACAATGTTCTTCTACTTTCCACTTCTTTCTCCTTCAGTTCCCTCCCTTCATCTATCCTTCCCCACTTGCCGCCTCCCTACACAGACACCGAGTACTTTTTTATTTTAACGTGAATGAGTGGCCTTGGCCGTTATAAAGGACCCTCGCTTTTATAGACTTGGAGCAGAGTATTTACAAGATAACCCCGGCCCAAGGACAGCGCAAGCTATTTGATACCAGTGTCAGACTCTCCCGTCTCCTCTTCAGTAAAAATCGAAAGCCCAAACATGCCCCCAACAGCACCTCTCATTGTCACTTTTTTTACTCTGCATTACTAAAAGAGGAGAGACAGCTGTGAGTGGCATTTAATAAATACATCAGTTGCATGTTTCCTCATATACTTTTACATTTGAATAATAATGGAATTAAACAAAATTGAAAATTTGTCTCAGTGTTGTCAGGATAGACACGAGGCAAGACATCAGATACATCTCTCGCATAAAAACCATTAAGATGTACAGTAAAAGCAACAAAGTTTACATGTTAAAGCCGAGGTAGGCAATACTGGAGAAACTAGAAAGAGAAAGCTAGAACTGAAAAAATCCCACCCCCTCCTCTCAGGCCTCCCTCCAGAGCCACTCCCCCAAGACACATTTCTATGAACAACAACTGCATGGAGTGCGTGCAAGTAGGTAGGAAGGCATACAGTAGGCCTGCGCAATATGAGGACAATCTTAAATGTGCCTTTACATTCAATATTGCAATGACGATATCACTTCAAAAAAATATTGGACTGTGCACAATAGCTATACAATTCATATGTCAGCCTGGTTGACTTTAACTTCAGAACAGGATTAGAATTTAATATTTTAAATATAACTCATATGTAACTATATAAACTGTTGTTTTTAGGGCAGCAACCGTAAGGTTTACAACAGCGAAGTCACTATATAAACACAATAATATCTCAATGGAAACAAATCTAAAATCTCAATAAAAGACACAATATTTCTGATAGTGAAGTTTAGAAAGAATGAAGACCACAGTATCAGTTCTCCTTCCCTTATTTTGTCCTCCCCCCCTCCGCTGCTGATGTGATTCACTTTCTGCAGGTACTACTGGTAGAGAGGTGAGGGGCTGGTTTGTCTCAGCCGGCTGCGAAGTTTACAAAAAAAGGGCTAAATTTTAAGGTAAGTGGCAAACTAACAGTTAGGCAACAGCTTTTGTTTTAGTTTGCTTGTAACAAGTCACTATTAGCTGAGTGAAAACAGTGAGTGACTGTCGATGGTGCAGATTCAAATATTGCTTTCTACATGTTTATGCTAGTGTTTATGCTGCATGTACAGTAACAAGTATACTTGGCATCAACTCGAGTAATCTTCACTGCAACTGATTCACTTCACTGACTCCACCCACGGCACCCACACAGAGTGCGGGGCAGAGGCTGCCGCGTTATAATTAATACTATGATCTTTAACTATCTTTTACTATGATCATTTGTCTTATTCATTGCATTTCAGGCAGTCTTTTGTCAGGTGTTTATTGTGGATGTTCATATTGCAATGATGATGAAAACACAATTTATCAATCAGCACTAGTAGACAGGCAGTTAGGCCAGCCAATCATTTCATGCGGAATGTAATGCACATGTGGAATGTAAAGAAATAACAAATATTAACCATAAAACTTTATGAGATTGAGAAGGATAAAAAATGACACTGTGTTGTCCTGTTTAATCAGGACACCATTTGGATAAAACTTTAATTAGGCTACTATTTTAGAATTAGTTAATAACAAAAGGAAGAAAGAAAAATATCTGTATAATGTTAATGGCAAAACCACATAAAATAGGTTATCTTGGTTATAAAGGGATCATTTGTTGTTTATATGTAGTCTGAGCACACTGTTTGCTCAACAATACTATTTGATTACACCATGAAACAGATAATTCTGAGAATGTCTTTGTAATAGAAAGAATTCATGGTAGCTTTGGAAAACTCATCAGATGCACACAATTCTGCTATTCCTTATAAACCATTCTTATATTGGTTTTAGTGACAAATCTGAGCTCTACCATTATGGAGAACAAATGTTCACTCCGGCATGTCCAAGATTCCCTGGCAGTTTTAAACATGCACAAGCCCTGTGCATGTACCTGCTGATTCAGCATATATATATGTGACAGAGAGAGAAGTAAAAAGTGAGAGAATGAGTGACTGAGTCTGCGTACACATGTATGTGTATGGAGGGGCCTTGTTGGGAGTGCCACCCAGACATTAGCACTGTAAACAGTGCAGGCCTCCTTCCCTGTCCAGGCCCTTTGTTCCATCTGCACCACCATTGGTCAGGACTTAAATGGCAAACACTCAGGGGCTGCTAGCTCGCCTGACACGGTTTTGTTTTTGGCCTATTGAGGGGCAATGGAGAGCTTCTGTTTCTATGCCCAGGCACAATGTGTCTCAAAAGCAGCATGGCTGAAAAGAGAGGCCCCCACAAAGACCGTCCATTAGTGGAGGCACTGCATGCATGTGTATACGTGCACTCACATAGGCACAAGCACGCGCGCGCGCGCACACACACACACATACACACACAGACAGACACACATCACACACATCATGATGCCTGGGCAAGGGTCAGGACAGACAACCTTGCCAAAGGCACTGGTGGAGACAGCGCATGTGCGCATGTGGGTGTGCCCATGTACATGTTAACACACACAAGCACAGAGTCTATATAACCAAATCCAAGCCATAATGCACACTTGCCACACTACATCACTATACTACACCCACTCCTCACTCACATAAACACACAACCTCTGCTCCACTTCAATACAATAAGGTCTGGCGCGCGCGCGCACACACACACACACACACACACACACACACACACGCACCTCCTTAGCACCTTCAGGACAATACCAGGCATAGAAAAACACACACTCATACACACACATGCACGCTTCTACAATATCAGACATACACACATCACTCAGTCACAAAAGAGGTGAAGGAGGAGGAGAGGGGTAAGAGAGGCCCCCTTGCACCTGTAAGAAAGACAGGCCGCATTCAGAATCACTGGTCACAGAATAGACAGTTTTTAAGTGTGAGAACTCCACACAAGGCCATGGTTATAGCATACACTTTATATACAGCCCTCCTTCACTAACCAGGTTGTCTAAGTTGTCATTAATATAGCACATGCTTTGTGCAATTGAAGGTATAAATGCAAAGTATTAAAGTGGCACAATAGTAAGTTTATGGCAATATTTCTTTAATTACCCCCTCCCCTCATCTTTGTCCTCTGGCTGTAAATGTTTATACAGCACTGCTTTCATTGCTTACAATAAGAAAAATATTGTATGCTATTCAAAATCCTAGGGCTTATGTTTGGTGACAAAAATCATGTAGTGGCTTTCATAGCTTTAAAGCAACAGTAGCCACAAGCAGCACTTCAAAGATGTGTTTCTCACTACAAGCTAGAAAAGAGCTACAGAGTGGACGCAAATGATTAATTTGTCACCTGAGATACCTTTGTATCTCTAGCAAAGTTGGGAAAACACATCTATGTTAGCACAAAGCTGCTGCCTTTGGTGACCTTAGGTGACAAAAAGAAACAACAATGCAAATCATCAATCTAGTGGAGCTACTTGAATTTTTCTCTTTGGCCTGAGACTGTTACTGAACTGACGCTGTACACAAGAGTAAACACATATTCACATGTATATGCTGGTTTCTTAGCTGAAATGACATGAAAGCAAGCTCCGTGGTTTTATCTCAACAGGTTTCCACCAGAGCCAACCAGCAAAAAAACACTGCTTGATTGAACACTTCTCATTGCTTAACATCTCCGGGGTCAACAGGGCACACACATACAAACAGAAAATACAAATACACACTTCAAAATATAAAAACGCATGCAGTCAGTCAGGCAGGAGGACACAGACAAATGGTGATATTCATGTGTACTCAAGAGTTATTCAAAGTGTTAACATTTACACTCACATACACAGAGCAGACTTAGAAAAGGTGACCAACACACTGAGAGAAAAGAAACGTGGACTGAAGTTCAGTACCCCACGCATTGAAAAATGTGGTATATTAGATTGATTTTTTCACAGAGTTTTGGAATGGAACAATACAATAGAAATTTTGAATCCCCCAACTAGGCACTCTGGAAGAGTCTAATTTTCCATTTTGTTTGTCTAAAATAGACCAACATACATACAGCTGCTATGGATGTATAGAACTACTTGTCACATGACCTTGTGAGCCCATGCAACGCATACAGAGAGCAATATAGTGTGAACGAGGGTAGGAGAGGAGAGGGTAGGATAGATGTGGAGGAGAGGAGAGAGGTCAGGTGGGGGAGGAGCAGGCCAGGGGTGGAGATAGCAGAGAGTGGGTGTTGAGGGTGGAGCAGGTCTGAAATAGATCACTTAAGGGAACAAAGTGTAATTAATGGGTCGCCACAGATAAGAGGGCTCTGGCCCTATCTGGGAATGTGCTAATGGAGTTGACACACACTCAGCAAGATCAGTGGACAACCCCTCTCTATGTGTGTGTGTGCGTGATTGCATGCACATGCGTGGGTGTGTGTGTTTTAAGGACACACAATGGATAAATAGTGGGAGGAGAAGACTGCTAAGGTGACAGGTTAACATGGTTTCCTCCATGACGAAGATCTGCCATCCCTGCAATCAGAGAAAACCCTGAACACACACACACACACACACAAGGTTTCTTCTGCTACACACAACGATAACACACACACACACACACACTCTATGTGAGTCAGCCTCCCTAACTCACGTAGACGTCCCACCTCACATCAAAACATGAGTGATGTTATTACACTTGGCGAGCCGGTATGCCTTCAGTCGTGGGGATGTGGTTGTTTACGGAGAGATGGAGGAGAAGGAAGCTGCCTGGTCAAGAGAGGGTCAGACCTGAAGTGTTCTAAGAGAAGCAAACTGACACAAACCTCTCCTTAAACTTCCTGCCTGCGTGTGTCCCTGCGTCAGGGAACCTGTCTGGAGCCAAGGGGCCTGTGCATGTAGATATGTGTGTGTACATGTTTGTTGGTTAAATCTCTTGGGTTTAGAGCCTGGCCGGGGACGTCAGGGGAGGGTTTCCAGGAGCCCACGTGTGCTGGGACAGTGAGATGGTCTGTGATAGACAAGGCAAGACAAGGAGGATTTCCCCTGTTTGTCTGAGAGAGCAGAGCAGCGGTGTCTCTCACACACACACACACACACACACAGGGAGAAGTGTGTCTCTGAGATGGATTTTGTGTGTGTATGTGTGTGGGGAGTACATGAGGCATCTGATTGTTTTTGTGCATGTGTGTGTGCGTGTGTGTGAGCGCCCCTTTCAGGGTTACAGACCCTGGGGCCATCTACTTCAGTCTGGTTTAGTCAGACAAGCCAAGGCCGCACTGACACACTGCATGACTTAATAATATAGAGACCGCTGGCTTGGAGCCGCAAATACAAGGCTCAGACGTGGGAATAATCAAAACAACACATATCTTACATTTTTTTGTTTTTAATATCATTACAGTCACCTTGACAAGTCAATATAGATCAGATGAAGTAAATGTCCTTAACACAAGGGTGTGACCTCGACAATCACAAGCTGTGCATTGTGTTGTTATGTGTGTCCACAGAAGCCTGAAAAGTATATTTTGTTTGTGTGTGACTCTGATCTGCCAGGACAAGGGAGGAACAGCTTCAAAGACTCAATATCAACCCCTCTCTCTCTTTCACACTCACACACGCACACAAAAACGCACTGACGGACAGTCCATTGCTCCCAGCATATCTCTACTTTGTCCTTGGACTGTCTGAATACCACTGGAGGCAAGCATGATTTCAGAGCAAGTGGGAACAAGAGAGAGGGAGACAGAGGGGAAGAAAGAGGAAAATGATAGAGGGAAAGAGAGGGGGAGAAAAGAGGCGCCCCTCAATGACATCTAAAGAGATAACTCACTCTCCAGAGCTTCTTTTCTCTTGCTATCACTTTCCCAGGCAACACTCATGCTTCATAAGGCCTCAAGTGTGTGTGTTAACTTTGTGTGTGTGTGTATGTGTGCATGCGTGTGTATGAATGAGTGACAGTAGTGTATGTGGGAATATAGTGTACGTGAAGGTGAGAAAGACAAGATTTTTGAATCTCAATGAGATGAT